AAGGACCACCCCCGGCGCCAGCAGCTGGCGGCACAGGCTGACTCCGGCAAAGCAGCCGTGCAGTTCGGCTACTCGAAACTCCACGTTTGCAGGTTACGTGGTGGTTTGTGTTTTGTTGTGTTTTTTTTTTTATAGGCTGCATGATCAGAATGTGCTCATGCTTGGGGTTTTTCACTTTGCACTTTTATTAGTATTTTTCTTGATAAGAAGTTTAATTTATTAATGAACGAGCTCTTCCTGTAGCATAGCACAGAACCTTAGGTGTTCAATGTATCTTCAGGTCTGGTTTTGTTCCCCCTCTTATCCCGAGGGTGCAACATCGAACCTCCCGGCTTTTGCCTTTCTCCCGAGAAGTTGGGAAGAAGCAGGAATCGGGGTGTGGTGACAGTGCGTAGGTTTTTTGCATCCTGCCACATGGCAGGCCCTCCCTCTCCCTCTGCTGTGGCACTGAAGTGCCGGTGTGGTTCTGCCCAATTCCTTTCTTTCCTTGTGCGCACGCGCCCTTCCATGGCATCTTTCCCAGCGCAGTGCGTGAACCTGCGCCTCAGAACAGGGCCGTGTTGCCCTTCCTACGCGGGGGTTCTCTTCTTCGCTTAAAGTAATGGTAAATGCTTCCAAATACGAGGCCAAACTGATCAACAGGAGCAAGGCTGTGCGGCGCTGGGTGTTCGGTGAGCGTCGCACAGTGACGCATGCAGCGCTGTGCCAGAGGCGGTGACGTCGGTGAGTGCAGCCGAAGCCCCCAGTTACTCCTTCAGCTTTCCTTCTCCCCTTCGTCCTCCGGCTCTGTGTGTGCAGGGGTGGGGGGGTGACCTCAGGGTAAGGACAAGTCCCTTTGCGGGCTGGGGGTGGCTTCGGCCCCCGTGGGGAGGTCACAGGTTTCCCTGGCAGAGCCTGGGCGTGGTGCAGGACAAACACCAAACGATGTGGAGATGGTTCTTGGTGGCTCCCCGCCGTAGCTGTAACCTCAGTCCGTGGGTGGGCTCCACCTGAACCGAGGGCAACAGGACAACGCTCCCCGCACCTGAGATCGTGTTGCCAGAATGAAATTAGTTTAAGAAACGCACCTGGCAACCGGGAAGATTTTTAAATAATCCCCAATTCATAAGCTGATTTTTGGAATGAAATTTCAAACTGTAATGCCCTGCAGGTAAGAGTGTTCTCAGGGATAGTTTACACCTCTTGCATAATCAAGTACTAAAATACCCCACAAAATTAAATTAAAACTGCGTTGGGAAATGTGCTGTAACCTCTTTGAACTGTAGCTACTTACTGTTTAGCTATACACACACTTTTGTGTTTCTGACTAATGTCTTCCCAGCAAATGTAAAAATACTGTGCAAAACAAAGATTTTGTGGCTTTTTTTTCACTGGCTGTATTAATGCCTATGGGAGTCACTTGAATTCATCCCCATTTTGCCCCTTGAAAGCAGGTGGCCTGTGCGGTAGGGAGGGGGCGACAGCCTGGAGTGCCAAGGTGAGAGCGGCCTTCTGCCAAAAGGAAAGGATCCAAAAAGCAGTGTCAGGACGAGAGAGTGGCCCTCACGTGATTTCTCTGGAACGGTACCATGTAGAATCACGTTCCCAGGGATATGTGGAGGCCCTTGTCTAGATGACACCTACATTCCGAGTCTTCTCAGTCAGCACCGAGAGCCCTCCGTGCCTGAATTCTGGCCTCCCACTTGCCACGGACTACGGTGACAGACCATGTTCTCCTTGCCCCTGAAAGTGGGTTTTAACAGCAGGGGCTGCCTTTCGCTGAAGATGAGCTGGTTAAAGCAATTTAAAATTAAAAGAGGGCTGGGGCATTTCCACTGGTGCGCCCAGCTCACCGCAGTTCCAGACACCCTCGATGCTGAAGGCTGTAGCTTTCCCAGTGCTTGGATGGTGGTGTTCTTCCAGGCGTGGTTTCAGACAACGAATGTTAGTTTTCACATGTTGAAATTGCCTTCCGAAGTAAATCGCTTCCGGGCATCGGCTGGTAAAAGCGAGGATCGACTGCCAGCGCACATCTATTTACAGTGCCTTTTCAGCTGCAGATCCTCCAGACCGCCCTCACCACTTAGGGGCTGAAATTAAGTAAACTCCGTTAACTTTACCCTTGCCTTGCTTAGGCTAGGAGAGTCATCTCTGTTTTGAGGACGAGCTGTGGCCCATGGATTCAATACCTGAATTTCGTAAGAATCCTATTTTTGTCCATAAAACCAGAATGGGTTGAAGATGAGCACTTGCCCACTTACTCCAGTGTTGAAGGTAACCGCTTGCAGATAAGCGTTGTTTAATATTTTTATTTACCCCCCCCGAAGCACTCCCAAGTGCTGGGTTGCACCGCAAGCCCCAGCGCGTTTGTCCTGGCCTTGCACTTTTATTCTGTACATGACCAATGCCAGAATGCAAGAGTCGGCAAAGTTTTGTGCCTTGATGGGTTTTTTAAATTTTTTTTGTTTAGTTCCTTTGCATCAGAGCGCATCGCAATCTGTGGATGTTCTATTCTAAATTTAATGGTTTGTATTCTGCTTGGTGTGGGTCTACATTGCACTGTATAATGTGAAATTTAAGAGACTGACTTGTATCTTGAATGTAATAAATTCTTAACTGGAGAAGGCACTCAGGTTCCTTGATGTAAATAAAGTTTTGTTCTATTTTTCAAAGCTACTCTCGAGTTGTAAATTTAAAACTTACCCCCGTGTTTTGACTAATGACAAGCGGCAAATGCCCCTCTCTGGTTTGGGGAAGGCCTCCGGGAACCGGTACTGAGGTTTTGGATCCCAGAGCGTAAGCCGGAGCCTGAATTGCGGATTCTTAACTCTGCACAGCCTTGTTGGCGTTACAGTCTATGTGCCAGCCGCGGGGAGCGAAGGTGGCTGCAGCTGAGGTGAATATAAAAAAACCATGTGGTTTTTACCATATCATTTTATTCAACTTTAATATGGTTTCCATTATTAACTTCTAAAACAAAATGATTTCCAGTTTAGAAAACAATGCACTGACCACATAATTCCTTTTCCATTTTATACAGTTATACAAATATTCTAAATACACATTTTGTCAAGATGGTGGCAAATAAGATTTAACTGTACAGTACATAAGGAAAGAAAATATTTTAAGCATATTTAGAAGCAATAGAAATGTCTATACAAAACAAGCAAAAATGGAATAAAATTTTATATTTAAAGTATTGCAACAGTCCCACAGGTTTGTAACAAAAATGTCTTTGCACAGTTCCTCACAATGCCCCATTAATAGCTAAAGCAAGACAGCAATTTTTTAGAAAATAATGTTTCAAAATGCTACACATGATACTACTGCCTGCACAGTCTGATCAAAGTAACAATCTACTTGGAATCGAGCAAAACTTAGGAGGAGATATACCAACCGACTTTAAAATTATCTGTATAAAAGTCATTGCACGTTATTTTACTCAGTTGTTTGAAAAGTAAAAAAGTGTATTTACAAAATATTTCGCAGACAAAATTATAAAGTGAATGGACAATAGATAAGTAACACGTCTTGATACTGACAGTTCAAGAACACACACTAATGGTTTTATCGTTTCAAGAGGTTTTCAGTGCTCCTTCCTCCAGGAAGTAAACTCGACTTCTACTTTGAAATGGATTTACAAGATGTCACACATAGCTATTCCAACATCAGCATTATAAAACAGTATGTTAGAAACATGAAGGAAAGAAGAAATTTGTACATCTTAAAAAGTGAGCTATTCATAGATCAACAAAGGTATGGGCTTTTTTTAATTTAGTTAGGGT